AGAAATCCTGGACATAAAGTGGTCTAATATTGAATTGACTACGAGAGGGAGCAAAACATATCTGGAACAGGAAAATAGCCCGAAGCAACAGAAACACACAAGTGAGGGAAATGAGAACGCTGAAAAGCCCATGCATAACTGTCACCCATCTTATGTGGAGCTTTTCAGTGCCTGAAACTAGTTGGTGCTCCTTCAGGTAGCAAGTGTGCATGTGCATTGATGGGCCAACACATTTAATCCAGACAAAATGTAGGTATTATGGATTACTCCTGGACTCTTCACTTTCATGGGATAAGCAGGTGGCAGAGTTAAGCAGGAGTGCCTTTCAGTTCCTTAGGATGGTTTGTGGCCGTTCCCGGAGAAAACTGACCTAGCCAATGTCAGACACATCCGGTTAAATGTGGATTAGATTATTGTACCTTTGAAAACTGTTCAGAATCTACAGTGGTCAGAAAGGACTAACAGTAGTCTGATCCAGTGAACATATACAGCCAGTATCGTATCAATTGCACTGGCTTCCAGTTGGTTCCTGGGCCCAATTTGAAGTGCTGGTAACAAGCTCAGGTCCAAAGTACCCCCATGTCAGCCTCCTTGGGGTCTCGAGATCATTTGAGGAAGTGTCTCAGAGAGACCACTGATTTAGAAGTCCACTTGGCGGGGAGGTGCACAGAAGTCTTTTCAACAGCCACCCCTAGATTGTGGGACTCTTCCCCCCCAGGAGGTGCATTTAGCTTCACTTCTACAGGTCTTCTAACATCATCTGAAAAACTGGAAGGCCTTCAGGGAGATCTGACTATTTTACCCAAGGCCTAATTTTTTAAGTTAATGGTGATTAGTTGATTAGTTTTAAATATACTGTGTTATTTTTATGGCATTAGAAGTAAGCTTCCTTAGGCATTTTATGGGAACGGAGACTAGAATTATCCTGAATACAAATTATAAGATGAATTAGTCCCTTTAACTCCAGTTTAAAAACAGGCTTGCGCTTATCTGTAACTGTTGTTCATCAACATTTCTTCTGTGTGGGCATACATTAGGCCCGCGCATGCGCAGACCCAATGCGGGCCTACATAGAAGACAGAAGATGAACAAGAAGGTTTAAGAGCCTATGCTAGCTGGGGCAGTCTATGAGTCATGCTACACTGTTTCCCCAAAAATAAGACCTACCCCAAAAATAAGCCCTAGCAGGATTTCTATGCATTTGTCGTATAAGCCCTAGTGTGTCTTCTTGAGAAAAAATAAATATAAGACAGTGTCTTATTTTCGGGGAAACATGGGCAGTCTATGAGTCATGCTATTTGGTGCCCGTATCCAAAGCAGTATCTGAATACAAATACTCTTCCAACAGATCTGGGACAGTGCATGTAATATAACTACTCTAGAGGTGTGGATTGCGACTTCATATTTATTGGCAGTTTGTTCTAAACCTGGATTTAAAAAATAACCATTGAAAGCAATAGCGAGTTCAAAACTAGGCCTCTCCACCCATGCATCCCTTATCATTTACTCAGAAGCTAAGGAGCAGCCTGAAACCAAACATATTCAGAAACTGTAGCCATCCTGTCCCTATCTTGATAAGCGTGCTGGTGATTTGGCAGGTATTGCCCTTTTTAAAAAAAAAACCCAATCACTGTTATTAAGTAGAGCTTTGCGATACATGTCTGTTCCCTTTTATCGTGATGTATTTTCCTTTTTCCAGAAAAAGATTCAGCCAACAGTGCCGAGAAGAGGGCTGGCGGCTGTTGCCCACTTCCTTTTCGGCCCTCCCCGTCTCCATCAACAGCTGCAAAGTGAGAGGGACTTAGCCCTGGCGATTGCTCAGTGTGAGTATTGCTTTCTACCACAGAGGCAAGCCTTTCCCCAATACTTCTCTTGCCCACCAGCAACCATTGTTGGAAGTGAAGGACTTTGCACTCTCTCTTAGCCTCAGACTTCAGAGGGAGACTGTAGAGAGCCAGAGGAGTAGAGAGGCCAGGGCCTGTATATCCCTTCCTTTCAACTTCTCTGATACTACCCCTTTGATGTGTCCACCGCTGTTGTCGGGGCAGGGGTCTTGCTGCCTTCCAGCTAACATCTTCTCTTTCCATCCGCAACCATAAGAGCAGGACGTGCTTTCCTGCACCCCCATGCATCATAGCTTAGCTAGTTCGTTTAGATTGCCATCTGTATCCTGTCTAGAATGGAGTTCCTTGTAATAAAGTACTCATATTATTTTACTAAACTAAGATAATGGGCTCTGTGTGAACTTTATTTCCTCAAGCAGCAGCCTAACACAAATTCTGCCATGCCTTGTGCGCTCTGCAAATGTTGTCAATTGCAACCTTCTAATTTTTGCCATGAATTCAGCATGGTGGATTTGAGGATGTAAACAAACAAGCTGCTATGTTGTTGCATCCTCGGATCACGTAGTACAGTACTGAGTGTTTTGTTTGGCAGGAGCCCACCAAGAACTCAGGCAGCCTGAGATCTTTAAGCAGGGGTTCCAGGGCCTTAGACAATCAAAGCGGCCGCCCAGGAAACATATCCAATCAGCTTTCCTTCTACAGGTGGCTTGGATAATAATGAAAAAGTGCACATGAGAATTCTGCAAACAATCTACAAGAAATTAACAGGATCCCGATTTGATTGTGCCCGCTATGGATCTCATTGGGAAGATCTGGGGTTCCAAGGTATGAAGCGGTGAGCGGAAGAATGAGAATTTGCACTCCTGGGCATTTGCCCAGTGGTAGTGGGGCCTTGCTGAAAGTCAGTAGAAGTTCATGGGAAAGGCCTGGTGAATCTTTTCACTTGCAGTAATCCCGGTGCCAGTACATAAAGCTGGTCTGTATAAATTCCAAAGCCTGCACTGATCCTGCTGGAGATGCCGTCCAACGTGTGGATAGGCAAAATGGTCAGCATACCCCGAGGCTTACAACATTCATGGCTCTTGAAAAACCAGGTTTGCAGATTGAATGCCACAGATGATTTAAGTGCTGTGCAGAATTCCTCTTCTTATGCCACAGTGCATTCCAGCAGAGGAGGTGTGGGTATCTAATGCTTCCTCATTTTGGAGTTCCGCTGTGACTTCTTTCCTGCCTCCCCCTGCAAGATCTGTGAGCTGTTCACACCTGTATCTCATGTATATCTCTGCAGGCGGAATATGCAAGGATCCCTATGCGCAAGTATAACAGAATCGTGTAAAGAGTTGCTTGCATTTCTTCTTTTGCCAGTTTGTACACCATTCTCGCCCCCAATTCCTTGCCCTAAATATCTAAACAGACTTGCGTTTTGGAACCTGCATATTTGAAATTGCAGCAATTGTTCTTACAGAAATGATTCCACAAATGATTACAGTTGCACAGTATGCATCGTTTGTATGGAAGTTCTTATTGATTGAATATTAAAAACATTTGGCATCAGGGAGTGGGAATTATGGCTCATCTCCTGTGAGCATGAGCTACAAGATATAGGCCCAGAAAATGTCACTCTGTCATCCTGATCACCATTTTCCTTTATCTTTCAAAATTCAAGAGGCAGTAGGATGTGGCTTACATAATGGAAGGATGTACTGTATTGTGGGCTCACAAGGGATAGCATTACACTTTCATCAGGCCACGTTAATTTCAGCATTGCCTTTTGTGTGCTTAGCAATTAATCCTCTAATGTAGGCATACGTATGCAATAATTCACAAATATGGCCTGCGTAAGAATATTTATTGGCTTGGCTTAACAGGTTTTTGTGTGTGTATGTCCGTCTTGTACTTAAGGGACAGATCCTGGCACAGATCTGCGTGGGACTGGATTGCTAGGACTGATGCAAACGCTGTATTTTGTGATGGATTCTCGGATATTACCTCTGGCACGAGAGATTTTCAAGCTATCCCATCATGAAATGCAGGCATGTTCCTCTTTTTCTGTGTGTATGTTTTTTTTTTTAAATTAGCTGTTGTAAGCAGTATGGGGAAGAAAATTTTGCAGTCCTGATCCTCTGTTGGTTGCAAGTCTTTAATTTTAATAGGTTTTAGGAGCGTCTATCTATTGAAAAGACGGCTTGAGTGCGCCCTGCCACCCAGGAAGGGCTCCTTGCGCAATCTTTCTGTCAGGGTGCCTTTTGGCTGCCATAATGGTTCTGCTTTTCACAGAACTTCTCAGCTTACCTGTTAGGTGACAGAACTGTGTGCTCTAACAATTCGCCCATTGAAATGATCACTGTATCCTCTAGTTAACTGGCTAGTCTCTGTGTGGATGACAAACCCCAGAAAACCAGGCCACCCGCAGATAATGGAAGGATTTCTACATACTTTGGGGGGGTCCTTAGAGAAAGCTATGGTTTTGTAAATTTACCCCCCCCCCCATGAGAAACCACTCAAAGTAGCTTGAGGACTGAAACTGCTCCTGAAACAGAAGAATGGGGGAGAGCAGAGTGTCAGTTAAAGGGAAAAGAAGGTATGGAGGAGGAAGAGAGATGAGTCTGCTCAAGTGTCTGAGAGTTCCGTGAATCCGGGAGGGAAGTAGGGAGGTAGGGGTTTCTTTTGCTGGGGGGAAATTTCCAAATTGTTTCCCCTGTCTCCTGTAGAGTTTAACATCTCCCCCACCCAGTGTGACACTGGAAACCACCACATAATACCCACACAAAGCTACCATATACGGAGTCAGACCCTTGGTCCATTAAAGTCAGTACTGTCTACTCAGGCTGGCAGCAGCTCTCCAGTGTCCCATCACATCACTTGATCCTTTTCCAGTGTCTTTCACATCACTTGATCCTTTTTTTAACTGGAGATGTTGGGGACTGAACCTAGGACCTTCTGCACACCAAGCAAGTGCTCTGCCACTGAGCCATGGCTCTCCTGTAGTCCATAAAAGCTGAAGCTACCTGAGACGTGACTCTGGCTCTCTGTTGTTGGAAGGTATTGGCTGAGTTCAGATGTAAGGCGTTGGCTGAGATCAGATCTCATGGCCCAAGAGAGGTTTATTTAAGATGGCCACAAAACTTGGCTTTGTGTGCAAACGCCTTCCCTCTCTTCTTCACTCTCATGCACAGTGCAATCAAAGCCTTCCTGGTTTTGGAAGTCTTCAGTCAAACTCTAGACTTGTTGTGACATCCAAGTACAGCCCACCTGGGCAGGGTGGAATGAAAAGGTTTAGGTAAACAGGCCTCCAAAATATACAAATTTAAAAACTAACCTAAAAATAAATTTTAACAACAATAATTAATAGTAGTAGTCAGTAGGCAGCATGCACCATAAGAAACTGCTCCACAATAAATGTATCAATTTACCAACATGGCAGACAAACCATTGAATTCGTTCATACAAAGTAATCAGGGAATACCATAAACTGCACAAAACACCTAACTCTTTTCAGCTAACGCCTTCCTCGGTGGTGCAACAAGTATTAAACATAAGAACACAAGAGATGCCAATGTTGGATCAGGCCAAAGGCCCATCCAGTCCAACACTCTGTGTCACACAGTGGCCAGAAATACCAGGTGCCATCAGGAGGTCCACCAGTGGGGCCAGGACATTAGAAGCCCTCCCACTGTTGACCCCCCCCCCAAGCACCAAGTATTCTCAAGCTAAAGCTATTATGTCGTTAATTAACAGGGGCAGAGAAGTTGCTGTGAAACAGGTCGGGTGGGTTAATCAAAGCCTAGGTTTAGCTGGATTGTAAAGACAATTGGCAAAAACAAATCTCCAGATTCATTGTAAGGACTAAGTATCTAAAACCAGAATGTGTTGTTTAAAACCATGGCATCTACATTTTTGGCTCACTTTTTAAAGATAGGTTGAAGTGAAACCCTCTGGCCGAGATCCGTACAAGGGCTTTATTTCGGACATATATGTTAATAGATGCATATAAAGAAGGGGGGGGGGACAATAAAGGAAAATTAAAATTAAGAAGAAGAGTTGTCCTTTTTCAGAATTTCCCTTTCTGCGTGATGTCAATCAATATTACCCGAATTGTGATCCAGGTCCTGAGGGAAGAACGCCTTTCCAGGTGAGTTTATTATACATGTTTGTGCTGTGCAGTCTGTGGACACCCTGTGTTGGATTAAAGGACCCCAGATGCTCCCCTCCTCTTTGTGTCCTTTGAGCATCCTAAGGAAGAGCAGGAAGCCATGCCTCTCTTGCCACACTGTCCCCAAGTCATTGCCAACAAGTTCTCTATATCTCCTTAGGCATTTTTACCCTGCTTTTCTTTCCAGTGGGGACTCCAAGCAGCTTGCAATATTGTCTCCTCCTCTGTTTTCTCCTCACAACAGCCCTGCCAGGGAGCTTGGGGTGAGAGGAGGTGTCTGGCCCAAGGTCACCCAGTGAGTTTCGTGGCAGAGTATGGATCCGAACCGAGATCTCCCAGATCCTAGTCTGACACCCTCACCACTAGACCACACTGGCTCTTCATGAAGGCCATTTGAGGCTGGCTTGTCTGTCTTTTATTATTTCCTCCTAGATTTCTACTTTCTGCTAAATGATTCCAGGAGAGGTGTTTTGTGTGTGTGTGTGTGTGTTTAAGGTAAAAGGTAAAGGTTCCCTTGCTCGAAAGCCAGTCGAATCCGACTCTAGGGTTGCAGTGCTCATCTCCGTTTCAAAGCCGAAGAGCCAGCGCTGTCCGAAGATGTTTCCATGGTCATGTGGCCGGCATGACTAGACACCAAGGCGCACGGAACGCTGTTTTTTTTAAAGCACTATTTAAAATATCGACTGGGCAATTTCTAGATGTCTGAAATTTTCAGTTAATTTTTTTAATTTAAATTATAATGGCCAAATCTCTACAAGGTTCTTTCTAGAGCAGCTAAAAGTATGCTAAAATCAGAGGCCGTGGAAATGACTTACTTTACCAAGGGCACGATAAATGTGACTGTCCAGTACAGCTTCTCATTGAAGAGGAATTTTATTTTATTTTTCCCAGGAAAAAATTATATCTTCCTACATTTTAGGAGTCCAGAGACTACCCTGATCTCATCAGAACTCAGAAGCTAAGCAGGGTGGGTACTTGGATGAGAGCCCATCAAGGAAGACTATGCAGAGGAAGGCAATGGCAAACCACCTCTGCTCATTTGTTGCCTTGAAAACCCCATGAGGTAGAACTTCATGGGGTTTTCAAGGCAACAAATGAGCAGAGGTGGTTTGCCATTGCCTTCCTCAGTTGCCATGAATCAGTTGTGACTAGACAGTACACAACCTTTAGATTTTGCAGGGTCATGCTTCTTTTAATCATGGTAATGTACATTAGAAACCTCTCCGAAGAGGCTCCCCTTGAGTTGTTTTGCCTCCTGCCTTTGTCGATAAGGCTTAGTGATTGGGAATGCAGAGGCAGTAAGCCTCTGAATGCCAGTGCTAGGAGGCTGCATCAGGGGAAGGCCTTTGGCTTCCATGCTCTTTGTTGGCCCTCCAGTGCCACTCGTTGGCTACCGTATGAGTAGGTTGCTAGACTAGATGGACCACTTGTCTGATCCAGTAGGGTTCTGCTTATGCAGCTCTAGGAATACACCTTGTGTGCTTGTCTCTTACAGAGAGTGTAATCGAAGGCAGCAGGTCATTGCAGTGCTAAACGATTTGTACGTGGCTATATTTTTGCGCCTCTTCAACATCTGGAAGACACAACAGAAGACAATTTCTGACTCTGGTTTTGTTCTAAAAGGTGGGTTGCTTTGGTCCTGTTAAAGGCAGGTGGGACCCTGTGGGGAAACCAGGATTTTGGACACAGCATGCCAATCATTTGTTCCAGCAGGGCTCATCTTATTCAGGCCCTATGGTGGTGTTTGGAGGTGTGTGAAACTCAGTATGATTTTTAGCTATGTCATGCTTCATTGTAATGAACCGCCTATAGTTAAACATCCATTAGGGAATGAATACTCTCCCTCTCAGACCACTCACTTGCAAGACCTGTGGCCCAATCTTTGGTTCTGTAAAATACTTGGTGCTAGATTTGTTTTGAGCTCTCTGTACACCTCTTGTCAGTCAACATTTTGTTAATACTGTTTCACTTTAACCTTTGATTTGTGCTGTCAGGTAAATAAGGTGAATATTGCTACATGCAAGACCACGTGCCTCCCCCTGCCCCCGTTTAAATTCTGCATCAAGCAAATACAGCTTCAGTGCTTTGGACTGATTAGCGAAATTAAGTAAATATTCGGGCATTCATTTAGTTTGTACAAGTGATCAAGTGATAACATCTAAAGGCTGCATTCCGACATCACAAGAAGCTAGAGTTAAACTGCAGCTGAGCACATAAGAACATAAGAAGAGACCTGCTGGATCAGACTAATAGTCCATCTAGTTCAGGATCCTGTCTCACACAGCGGCCAACCATTTCCTCTGGACGGCCAACAACAGGGCACAGAGACCAAGGACTTTTCTCTGATGTTGCCTCCTGGCACTGGGATTCAGAGGTTTAGTGCCTCTGAATGTGGAGGTTCCCCTCAGTCATCATGGCTAGTAGCCACTGATAGACTTATCCTCCATGAACACAGCTTGTTGCACACTCAGGCATTTCCCCCTCCCTCCATCGCTTCTCTTGGGAACAAAGCTTGATTAAAATCTTCCTAGGTCAAGCTGTCATTTCCCATGGATATCTGAATACAAGCACCCCAGCAAACCAAAGTTTGTTTTTCCTGTGAGCTGGAATTCTAAATCTCTATTAAATCCCATTTTAAACTTCTGGCGTGTGTGTGTGTGTGCGCGCGCGTTTTGGGGGAGGGAGATAAGCTCCAGATGGCCACGCCAGCTGCATTTGTATGTCATGGCAAATTGGAATGCAGCAGTTTGGGAGGTTTTCAGTCAAGGTCTGCATGTGCACAAGAGGAGGGGCCACCTCATGCACAGCTGCGGTTTGTCATGATCTCTGAATGCAGCCTTAGTATCAGATACGCACATGCTAGACAAACATGCAGCATCTGTCTTTCAGATATATGTATGTACACAAGTTTCTGAGCTTTCCCCCCCTTGTTAGGGCTAAAACTTGTTCTTAAAAATCAAGAAGAAATTTTTAGGATGCTAAATGCAGAACTTGAAGGACAAAGTAGACTTGCTTATTTTCAAAGAGCTGGGTCCTGTTTCCCCTCAGCCACACAGCAGCTGTGGGGAATGGTTTTGAAACAATGAAGGAGAGTCTTCTTGGGCTCAGGAACACAGGGAGAGGAAGGGCCTCCCACCCACCCTTGAGCCATTTTCCTGCACAAAAATAGTGCTGGGGGAGTTATATCCCTGTTAATTGCTGCTCCGTGCACAGAGCACTCTGCATGGAGCAGCAAAAATGAGGAAATAACTCCCCAAGTGCCATTTCTGCATGGGAAAATGGCTGCAGTGTGTGTGTGTGTGTGTGTGTGTGTGTGTGTGTGTGTGTGTGTGTGTGTGAATTTCAGTGGTCCTTCCTCTTCCAGTGGTGGCATTCTTAGCCCAAAGGGCTGTCCTTTATTTTTAAAAAGCCATTCCCCAGAGCTCCTGTGTGGCTGTGGGGAACCCAGACCCAGCTCGTGCAGCACGTGCAGTTTGGCCCTGACTTGCTAGATGAAATTACAGGCCTGCAGGTCTTTGTCTTTGGCTCTTCAGAAGATGTGAAGACTTGCAAGAGCAGATTTTTCAGCCAACAAAATCTGGTAACCAGTCAATATGGTATAAAGTGGCCCTTGCCGTACGGATTGTGTTGTGTTCTTTCCAGGGGTCATTTCGTAGAAAAAGAGCTGCAGGAGCTCATTAGCATACCTAATAAACTATTAGCACAGTAGTTAATTAGCGTATGCCACACCCCCTGACATCACCGGAAGTGGTGTCAGAAGGGGAAGCAAAAGGGGAGGGGAGGTATCTTCAAAAGCCTCCCCTTCCCTTCCCTAGCCGGCCTGCCACGGTTTAAACCCCTTCTCTCTGGAGTCACGCTGCTGCAGCGGCACGATCTCTCCATGCTATTCTATGGGGCCATAGAATACAATGGAGAGATCGCGCTGCTGCTGCTGCTGCTGCAGCGCAACTCTAGAGAGAAGGAGCTTGGGGGCAGGGAGCTGGGGGCGGGGCTTGCTGCCACCGCCATTTGTGCCCACTCCTGGGTTCCCGGAGTGGCGCTCCAGCCCCAAACGACCCCTGGTTCTTTCTATCGACTGATACTGTTTAGTGCACTCTTCTTCCAAGGACCTTTGGAAGCATGTGTGGCTCTATGTGCTTTTCTTTCACCCTCACAAGACCCTTGTGAAGTGTTTGAGGCTGAGAGAGCATGACCAGCCACAGGTCCCCCAGTGAGTTTCATTACAACATGAGTCTCCCTGGTCCTGGTCTGACACACAAACCAGCGGCTTGCACAGCGGCACACAGCGGTTCTCCCCTGGCATACTCTTTCACTGTACTTCTCCTTCTGTGTGCAAACGTCTTGTCTCTTCTTGCAGAACTGGAGGCATTTGCCAAAAGGAACCCTAAGCAACTGCTCAGACACCTGGAGATGTACCTGAATGGGAGTGCTGTGCTGGAAGACGGCTTTCAAACCCATGCTGTCTCATCTGAGGTTTTTGGTCCCATCTTAAGCTCTGTTAGTAACAGTAAAGAGGCCAGTTTTACCGGAGTGTGTGACCTGCCAACTGAGACAGAGCAAGAGAGCTGATCTGCATTCCGAAGGATGGGAAAGTCCTTTGTACATGATTAATCAACAGCGCTGGTTGGTATGGTCTCCTAAGGGCTTCCTTGGCTGCTGCAAGAGGGCACGCAGGAGTCTGAAGGGCTGGAGTTCTTGACCTACTGCTCGAGTAGACCGCAGGGCTTCAGTGTGGGTCGGAGCCGCTAAGCGAGGTATAGCGAGAGCCCTGGGGGTGGAGTCTGGGATCAAGAGCAAACTTTCATTCTAGAATGCCAATCCAGGCAGGATTCATTCGCCCCAATTTTGTAGCACTCTGTTGCCAAGTCATCCCACTTTGCAGTGGGAGTGTAAATTTGAAATAAAAAAATCCTCCTGTACCCTGAAAATAAAATGTTCTTCCAGTTTCCAATGCTGAGCAGGACATCAGTTTGTTAGGTGCTTTAAAAAATAAAAATCTGTGCTTTGCATTTTGGAACTTCAGCTTAAAGTGAACCTTGAACTGCTGTATCAGATGCTAATCATGGGGACTTGGGGCTTTTATTTTTCCTTCCCCAGCTAGGATTTCATCTGGGACTACACGAGTTATTGAATCATTTTATTCCATCCCTTTGAACGCATAGATCCTCCATCGTCGTGTGCCTGGTGACATATTTTTGTTCAATGAGATTGTCAAGAGGTACTGCTATATATGTGTGCCTGCCCAACTTACGTGCTGTTAAGGGTGGTAATGGGCAACCAGCAATGACATGATAGCTGCTTCAAAGCTGACCATCTGTCGGCCGGAACCACAGGGCAAGGTCTGCGGCTCCCAGCCATGTGGTAGACCCTGTGTGGTGACCCACCTGGCTTCCTTGAATGATGAGTGTTGGTGGGGAGGTAATGCCGGGACCCTACTGTATGATTGAAGCCTTTGGACGAGTGTTGTTTTGTGCAATTATAGCTGCCATGGCATGGCTTTTGCCGTGTGGTTCCCAGAGACTTATTTCCACCCCAAGGTATTGAGACATGCTGGTTGGCGCACCAGCTGTATATGTAAAGTGGTAACCCTGGCTGATGACGGGGTTTTCTATTAAACCAATTACAGTCTTCAACCTCCCCAAATGTGTGTCTGTTTTGTTCAACCTGCATTTCCAAACTACGGAGACGTAATAAACCCATATGTTTTCTAAGAATCCTAATGCAGATACTGGGGAGGGAGATTATTGTATACAAGTGAAGAACAAGTATCTAGACATGGGCAAAAATATGAAGATAGCTGGAAGACCTTTTGGTATTTCATAAAGGGCTGTGCACAGCACAGACAAAAGATTTGCTCAGTTTCAAGAGCTGGATTAATTCTGCTGTATGTGCTTTGGAGCAGTGTTCCCTCTAAGCTGAGTTGGTGTGAGCTAGCTCACAGTTTTTTAGCCTCTGGCTCACACATTTTTGCCTTAGCTCAGGAAGGATGGCTCTAGAGCAAACTAATTTATGCAGTAGCCAAATCCCTCGCTCAGAACTTTAATGCCAGTAGCTCACAAAGTAGATTTTTTGCTCACAAGACTCGACAGCTTAGAGGGAGCATTGCTTTGGAGTAGAAGCTCTGATACCTTTGGGCTTCTGCCACAGTGTGGTGACGTGAGAGCCACTTTGAGGAGAAAGCACACGTGTTCTTGCAGTGCTGGGCTCCTTTTAAAATTAGCCAGCCTTCCATCTGCAGAGGGGGTTCTCTCACATGATGGATGAACAAAGGATTAGTTCGCAGCTGTGTTGAAAGTTTGCCCAGCTTGAAGAGCAGACTTTCATGTCCTGAACCACTGCTGCATACTGAAATTCAAGAATCCTTTATGCCCAGATTTTTCTCAAGCTGTTAAAGCGCCCCATTTAAATAAGTACTGAATAGTGATGCGAATTTGCCGCTCTTCTGTGGAGCGATTCCTGTCAGCATTAAGGTAGGCAGCTGGATCACTGGGCTACATCAAACTGAAAGCCCATCTGGCCACTTCTCTGTCTCCAGCATTAGCCAGCTAGAAACGTCGCCTGAGGAGGCTGTTGAAGGAGAACATCTCAAGATAGAAGTAACTGACTAGGAATTTGCTTAAAATGGAAGCTGCAATAGCATGAAGGGGCAATCACCAATAGCCTCTGGATACACGCTAAGCCCAACTTCGGAAGAAGGCTCACGGCTTAGTGGGTGCCATTTGTTTAGCTGCTCTGATGTCACAGAAGGGCTGAGCAGTCTTGTGTGAGACAATGCGCCCTAAGGGAAACTTGGAAGATGGTTGAGTTTGAACTAACATTTCATGAATCTCCAAAGTATCACCTGTAGGACTTAAGCTTCTAAAGGACCCTTGGTGCAAGGGTGAGCAGATCCAGGCATGAAGCCGCCTTGCTTTTGGTGCAAAACAGTGCAGTGGCAGGCAGAGTTACACCTTTCTAAACCCAGGAGTGTCAATTAATGTAGAAGAGCATAATTCTGTTTAGGATTGCACTGTTGCCTCCCATTTCTGCTCAAGTTCTCCACGATCGAAGCACCATATTGAAGTGATCTCAGCAGGATAGGAGGAAGATGGTAAGGAAAGGCAAACAGCTACAATAGGAAGAGTACAGCTCCCTGTTTGTGGGCCTTTTTAAGGGTAGAAGGGGGGGAAATGATATCTTTCCTACTGCAAAGTCTGGCAGAAGCTCTGCTTTGAGTGATGTGAGTAGGTTATGACAGAAGCGACAGACGTTGGCCACATCACCCCCTCGCAATGCCTCACAAGAAGTAGTGATATTTGGTGCCTACAGTTCTTGCAGGCAATAGTGAAATCAGAAGGCTGGCTCAAGGGGAAGGTTGCAACCTAAAGCATGCCAGCTGCACTCTGTGTATGAAAGCATGTGTTAGAAATCAAAGGAAAGACTCTCAGGTGGATTCAGCAGTTGCATTTCTGTACTGCTGAAGTCTTCCTCCAGCACAAACAGGCTTCCAGAGGTAGAGCATACTTCTTGCAGAGAAAGGCTCTTTAGCAGAACAGAAATTCTGCATCCAGCCCATCGCCGCAACAGTAAATCTGTGCTGGGAGCTTTGAACATCTGAGTAGTCACAATACAAAACAAGCCACTGGCCTCCTGGCTGAAAGAAAGGATAAAACTAATAAATATAACTACTGTGAGATGTGTGTCTGTTCTTCCTTTTTTTTCCTTTTCCAAAAGGAACACTGGAACAGTGTGGTCTCTGTGCTCCCATTGTCTTCCCTGACCTTTTGCACATGAACATTTTCTGCCTGCCTGTATTTATTGCTGTTTCTTCCATTTCTTTGACCCTTTGTTTCCGCCTGCACTTCAAGCCTTTCTGACAGTTCACTGCAGTTAACACGCACACATGGTGGAGAGGGCTCAGCAGCTGTGTCCAAATGTTCCTCTCAGGCTGTTGTATGCGCACAAATGCTCTCTTCCTGCCTTTCCAAAGAGCCTTTCTATGCTGCCTTCCACCTTGTAATTCTCAGCCCAGGAGTGTGGTGACAGAACATATGTAGGTAATTTTTAACACCATCTGAGAATCTAAACCTTTTCAAAGTGGACTCCCTCTTATAATTTTAACATACTTTTGGAACTTTTAAGCAAGTTCCACCAAAAGCAGTGGGATTTACGTTGAAGTATACATTCGGATTACGGCACAGTTCTAGACAATTGTAAATGTTTTCTGCTTAAAGCCATCAAGCTTCCATTAAATGTCAAAGGAGTAATATTTGTATTATACAATTTATATTTTCAAGTCTTCACTGTTGCAGAGGAGGAGGAAAGAACAGGTATATGTAAAATATTTTTTTAAAAAACTCTTAATTGTCAAACTGTTTTTGTGATCCAATGGCAAATTGCCCCCATACCAAAGCAACCTAGGTAAAAAGGAACTTGTTCAGGGAGTGTCTAAAGTTAGATTAGCTTGGCACCTCGTGGGGAGGGGACCATGTTGCAGAGAGGAGGCCACATCACTGAGAAGGCCCTGTCTCTTGTGGCACCTCACGTCTGACAGCTGAGGGACATGAGAGAAAGGTTGCCTGAATTAAGAAGAACGTATATGGTGGCCCGTTGCAATGTGTTTTCTTTCGCGCAGATGAAGGGCCGTTTCCAGGGTATTCCTGTTAACCAGCGTTTCTGTGACTGCCCACTGGAGGATGTAGGCTCCCTCTCCCACATCTGTTTTCATTGCCCTAAACATACAGCTTGGAGAGGAAAATATTTGAGGAAATGGCTACTGAAATTCTCACCCTTCCTGGAACCTACGAGACTGAGACTCCTGTTGAATAGTTTCTGTTTTGACTGCATAACAGATGTGGCAAAATTTTGTTTTGCTGTAATATTAAATCTGTAAACTTTTTAAGGTGCATGGCTTATGGGCTTTTAAACCGAATGAATGAATGATTCTCCCATAGACCTCAGATTCATATGAGACAAAGCAATCCTTCAAAGGTATTATTATTTGAAGCTTTATACCCCATCTTGATCTCCAGATGGCTTGTAAACAACAGATCAAATACAATAACAAACCAGTCACAAGCCCGTTGCCCTCCTCCTGACGGCAAAGGCCGGAGTGTATCATTTCCTTCATGCCTGCAGCCTTTGCACAGTTGGCTGTTCATCAAGAGTGTTTCTTCTAGTGATGAAGGAATACGCTCCCTGAGGTGGCTCTTCCTGCTCGACTGGGTTCTTCCTTGGAGACCCCGTTCATTCTAGGGGGCAGGGGTGGAAAGAGGGGAGGCAGTCCTTGGACTTTTGACTGCTGGCAGAGGTCAGCATGTCCTTCTCCTTATATCTGCTGTCCCGTGTCACCTGACAGATAGTCCCAGCCTGTTTAGGGATTTAAAGCGAATAACCAGAACTTTGAGTCAGGTCTACAAGGAAACTGGTAGCTGGTGTCGTTTTTCTGAAATAAGCTCTCTGTAACACATGCCGCCCAGCAATCTTTTTCTTGCATTTTGTGATAGGTGGATTTTTCAAAAGCCGCCTGACACAGAGCACGTGACCGTTATCTAGCCTGGTGGTCATCAGAACCTGGAGAACTGTGGCTAGATCAGGATGATCAAGGAAGATGGATTCAAGGTGGATTCCATTGTTGGTTTTCAAATGGATCGAATGGGTGTTTTCTTTTCTCCCCTCTGCTATGTCTCCTATGAACTGGGTTTATTTAAACTACATGAATGGAAGACGCTCCTGTCATGATTTATTCAGAATATTAAGAAACATCTCATGCACATGGATGGACTTTTGAGCAACTTTGTTGAGCAACCAATGTTAGATTGTCGATCAGGATATTTCAGCTCCCAGATGTTGGAAGAAAGGGGGGTATTCTACTATATTTGAAATAAATATATTATTAAGAGTAAGCTACTTGTATACCTTATTTTGGAGCTGCGGTGGCTCAAGTGGTTAAGACGCTGAACTGCAGGCTGTGGAAGGTCAGTAGTTCAGCAGTTCGAGACCAGAGTGTGCCGCATGATGGAGTGAGCTCCCATCTCTAGTTCCAGCTCCTGCCAACCTAGCAATTCGAAAGCAAGAAACTGCAAGTAGGTAAATAGGTACCACTTCGGTGGGAAGTAACAGCATTCCGTGCGCCTTGGTGTTTAGCCATGATGGCCACATGACCATGGAAATGTCTTTGGACAGCGCTGGCTCTTCAGCTTTGAAACGGAGATGAGCACCGCAACCCTAGAGTCGGACTCGACTGACTTTCGAGCAAGGGAACCTTTATCTTTACCTTTATACCTTATTTTATCTTTGTCTTTTGTAACATTAATGATACATATTCCAATCGCAGTCTGTTTTTCCAGTTCTGTCAATACATTACTGTGGATAGGGTTTTTTTTAAACCCTCTATATGGTCTTTGCTCTCCAGCATATATTGTTTTTAGGAGTTGGGTTTTCCCTGCCTCCAGTTATGTAACTGCCAAAAGCAAACGTTTTAATATAACGTTATGTAGTATTCTGGGGAAAGGCACTGGGAGATTTGAGAGGAAAGACAGCACCAGTTATGGGTTATTGTGAGCTAAAACGTGGCTGTAGGATCTGGTGTAGCATAGTGGTTAGAGTAATGGACGGGGACTTGGAAGAGTTAGGTTTAAATTTCCACTCTGCCT